CACATCCTTTACTCCCTTTCAAGTTATCCTAAGTGTATATGTCTTTCTTCTTTCAGACAAACACAGTCTGAAGTATTTTAAATAATACATGGCTTTCTTCAAATGTATAATGGCATGAATTGATGGGAAAAATTAGTTTTTAGATGATAAAATATATCTATATTCTTGAGTTACACTGTATGTTGTAGGACTTAAGTGAAGCAGAAGTGAGTTGTTTGGTTATAATGAAATTTGTTATATTATCTTTCTTGAAATGGTGGATTTGTTGGTCTGCCCAGAATCTTAAAATCCTGTTCCAAGTTTTTCAGTTCTTACCTTCTGTTACATTTTCATCATAATTTTTAACTTAACTCTCTTCAGAATGTGAACACATCAGTGGTAAAAAGAAAGAGATAATAGTCTATAATGTTTTAAATATGGATGTTTTACATATTTGAAAGTTTGCGAATTAGTAAATTTTGGGACAAATTTCATTTTCCGGGTGAAGTATATATATATATATATAAAATCCTTTTTTTAATTAAATGAAGACACTTTTACTTGATAGAAATGATTTAATGGTTTTACAAGACAAGATGTACAAAACCTGACACACCAGACATTGTATAGTTACCCACAAATAAATCTAAATATTTTGGGTTGTGGGTGGCACAGTGGCCTCACGACAAAAAGGTCACTGGTTCGAGTCCCATCTGGGCCAGTTGGCATTTCTGTGTGAAGTTTGTGTGTGTTCTCCCATGGGTTTCCTCCGCGTGCTCTGGTTTCCCCCACAGTCCAAAGACATGCGCTTAGGTGAACTGGATAAACTTAATTGTCTGTAGTGTATGAGTTTGTGTTTGTGTTTGTGTGTGTGAATGAGTGGATGGATGTTTCCCAGTATTGGGCTGGGGCTGGGGCTGGAAAGGAATAGTAGCTGGTTCATTCCGCTGTGGAATTTCTCTGAAATAAAGACTAAGCCAAAGGAAAATGAATGAATTAATGTTTTGGGTTGCATTTGCAATAATAATATTCCTCTTTTTTGTTTAAATGAACACGTGATTATGAAGATGTATGTCTATTAAAAATTATCACTTTTGAATCGTCTAAATTTCTATTATTTACTTTATGCAGCAGGTTATATATACATTCATAAGTTCACAGCTGTAATCCTACACTATCATGTTCCCATGATAGTGTTACTTGAGAATATGCATGCTACCATATATAACAATTAACTGTATGATCAGAAGAAGAAAAGATATCTGACTTGAAATCTGGCATGACTTCCTTTCTGGCACAGCAGGCGTAATTAGTCTGTGGTTTGGGTCAGCTCAATAATTCCTGAAAATAATTCTGTTATCCCACTCCATTATTCACAGACTATTTTAGGCGTTTCCTTCATAAATTGATGGCACAAGTTGTATGCTTTTTAAAAACGAGAAGCCAAAGCTTATTTAATGTGAGCAGCACTAGACATTCATTATAACCATCTTTCTTATAATGACTATAACAGCATGTGCATGTTCTCGTCGTCTCTCTTCAATGAGCAGCATCATCTTCCATTATTCATCCTCTTTCCTTATGCTGTTCTGTCACTCTCCAGCTCTCCTTATATCCCTCTCACTTCTTACCTTCTCTCACCTCGCTGTTACGCGGTTCATCATGAGGTACATTTCCAATTAATCTCAACATTATTCAGTCTGAGGCACTGCAAATCTTATAGCAGTTGCCATCAGCCTGGTAACCAAAGATGTGTTTGAGATATGCATGGGAAGTATAATGAAAGCAAACTGTATTCCATTAGTAAGCTCTGAATTTCTCTAAGCTGATGACACTGGCAGAGTATCAAATCGTTCTGACAGTTTGTTCAGAAAGAATCAGCATCTTTAGACTGAATTAAAGATGCAGCAAAGTAATACTATTCGCTCTTGCTTACAAATATACTATCATTATAATTGTTTCTTAATCAAGAATGTCAATTATTTCTGCTCTTAGTGCTTGTAAATCTTGTGTTAAATCTTTTTATCATGATAAGGAATAATTGGTCTAAACATGTTCATGTTCTAAACACATTCGTGTTTTCTAAACACGTTCAGAAAATGGCATAGTGAGAGTCATGAGGAATTAAAAACTCCACAGGGGATTATCAGCTTTCAAAGTCAGATTTATATGAAAGACTGCCAGATATTTTAACATGAACACTGTTTGATGTAAGCCCAAAATATACTTGTGTGTTTGCAGGTACAATGCATATGCGACACTGTCATCAGAACTAAACAGAACCACCCAATTTGTCCGAATGCTTTGCACTACTTAATTTGTCCACAAGATGAAAACAATGAGCTTGGCTTTTGTTTCACAGTCGGACAAGAAATGAAGGAGATGGAATGAAAACAATCTACTGAAGACAAAAAAACAACAGATGATAATGTTGAAGAGCGCATGAGTGAAAAGCTGCGCATGAGCGTATAAACTAACAGATTCTTGCTGACCGCATGCGGATTCAATTGGACAATAAAACCTTTTCCACATGAGTGGATGTCCAAGGATGTGAAAACCCCAGAACAGAATGTAGCATGTTGTCATCACAGACTGTAAAAAAAGATGTACAAAGCATCTGCAGTTCCATCCACTGTAGAAAAGAGAAGCCAAGATAAAGGCTATGTCATTTTGGAGGATGGGTCAGGGAGCAATATTTTCCACCAATTTTGACTCAAATAACTATAGAAAGGCAAACATATTAAAACTGTTAATGAATGTAAATCAAAACAACTACCTATACCATCTTTAAGAATTCATTCATTTAATCATTTGTTCATTCATTCATTCATTCATTTATAATCTTTTAGACTTATTCCCTTTATTTAACAGGGATCGTCATAGCGCAATGCACTGCCAATTAATCCAGCATATGTTATATGCACCAGCTGCAACCCATTACTGGGAAAAACCCATACACTCACATTTACAGACATACACTAAACCGGAGCACCCGGAGGAAACCCACGTGAACACGAGGAGACAGCATTACCCACTGCACCCCCCACCACCCCCTAGGAAAACAACATTTGAAGTGCAAATAGAACTCATAAAAAGAAATGATCCCAACCATCTTGGGCAGAGATCACTAAACTTGTTCCTGGAGGTCTGGTGTCCTGCAGATTTTAGCTCCAACCCAAATCAAACACACCTGAACAAGCTAATCAAGGTCTTACTAGGTATACTTGAAACACCCAGGCAGGTGTGTTGAGGCAAGTTGAAGCTAAACCCTAGAGGGCAACGGATCTCAGAACGAGATTGGTCACCCCTGATCTAGGACTTCCAGGACAACATAAAGAAATACACTTGCAAAAAAATTGCAGGTTATCTGTGTATATAATAATAACTTATACTTGATTGTAACTTTAACCTAATCTGATTGTAATGCAATAATGTACATCTTTTGTAAAGCTTCTCTGAAACCAAAAGCACTATACAAATAAACTTGAATTGAATTTAATGTATTTTTATTTACAATTTTTTTAGCCAGCCACCAGGGTGCGATCAAAATAGTTGTCTTCAATTTTCAGGATCCGTAAGTCACTTGTTTCTCATGTTTAAAGTATGGCATTCATGCAGCGTTCAAGTCCTCCAGAGAATTTAATATCTGCAAGTTGCCAAGTTAGCAATGTACACAAAATCAGTTTTTTTTTAACCCCACATCTACAACATGATTAACAAACAATGTGCATCAGTGGGTTTTTGCTTATTGTTATTATTCAGTTATGAAGGTTCTGCAAGAGTTGTTGTGTACTCTATCATATTGAAATTCCATTCACTGACTTATTCAAAATAAGTACCTCCTTGTGAGTTTGTATTTGTAAAGTTACAGTATATATGCGGCATACAAAAAGTATTATTATTTATTTATTTATTTATTTAGTTAGTTAGTTAGTTAGTTAGTTAGTTAGTTAGTTAGTTAGTTAGTTAGTTAGTTAGTTAGTTAGTTAGTTAGTTGATTGTTTGTTTTACATTTTTTACATACGCATGCATATGTACATACATATTTCAGGAATTTAACATTGAACCTGAAGAAAAATAAAATTAAATAAATAAATAAATACATACATAAATAAACAAACAATCAAAAGTTGTAAGTTCCCAACAATCTTTTTAAAAACGAAAAACATTTACTTTCTCTTGAAAATTTAAATTGTTGTTTGCGGTGCATTTTTAGCTATCTGCTTTAGAAATACCTGCAGATCAGGAACTGCTGCCCTTGCCAGACTCCAAGATGGCCCTGCATAGTAATTGCAGTTCAAACGATTCTGCTTCCGATCCTGGACAGCAGTTTGAATAACCTGTCTAGATTTTAGTTCCTGCTTACACAACCAAAACCAGACAGCTCTGACCGCAGTCTTCTGTAAGGATAACAAAATGAAACAAAGTGGACACAATGGACAATCAGCCTGTATTCAACTTCTGAATGGACTCGGAAAGCACATGTATGAACTGTCGCCCTCTTGTGGTGGTCTCAACAAGAAGTTCATTAATGCACTGAACCTGACTAAAATATGCTGGGAGGCATGACTGTGAATTGTGATAGTGTTACTAACACTAATCCTGAAACTAACATTAACACATCATAATCATCCGTCATTATCAAACCACCCTTAATTAATCATAATTACAGTAGATCTGTATTAAAGACATAATTACATGCTAAAGGTCAAAAGAATGTAGCTAATTCTCACCAGAATCCTTTATATTGCTTTCTAAATACGTTTTCTTTTGTAAATAAATAATTATAATAATAATTTATAATAATAATAATAATAATAATAATAATAGTAACAATAATAATTTAAAAGTCTAATGATAATATTTATATATAAATGCCAAAGTACTGCAGCTCACACTACATTAATAAACCAATATGCCTATTTAAATTACTCCATAATTTCTGTTTTGCTATAATAATTATTATTTTAAGAAAAAAATATGAATGTTTGTCCTTTCCCCGAATCCCTTAATCCGCCTCCGGGATTTCTGTGTTTCCATTCACATCTCTATTGGCGTCCCTGTTCTCCAGCGCTCAGTGTGGCTCAGTGAAGGTTGATGATTGGCTGATGGGAGATGAGAGTCTGGAGGCTCGCGCTTCATACCCGTGTCCGTGTGTTTACACTCAGTTCTCGAGATCCAGACGAGCGGCAGCGTCAGGACTATGGCGCTCCACAGATAGCAGCGGACATCTCACAACGATGGCATTATGCTTAACGCTTACGGACAACTTTTTCTTCTCGCCGCTACAGGAATAAAAGCTGCCAAGTACTTTTGTTTTCGCTTTATCCACTGTTTTCAGAGAGAAACGCGTTCTTTGTTTCAGTGGAGTTGTAAGTGAGATGAACTTTACGCTGGTTGATGCGTTTCACTACGGACGGGGTCTGCGATGTGCCTGAGCGAACATTTGGTGAAACTGTAGCTTTTACACATTTTGGGGAAAGTTCTGGACCAGGTTTCTATTAAAAACCACCACGGTGCAGCCTGTTTTTATAAGTTTGTAAAGTTCGAGGAGGAACCCGTCTCCATATTTCACACTATTTGAAGTATCCTTCACGGAGGATTCAGCGAGGCTTCAGCCGACTGGAGCGAGAGCACCTGGGGGGCGTTTGGCAGTAGCGTGACCGGGTGAAGATGCTCTCAACGTGGATACACCGCGACCAGTCTCCCGCCTCCCTGCTCGGTTTACTTCTACTCAGCTCAACCTTAGTAATACATGCAGGTACGAGCCGGTTAAATGTAACGCTTAATATTAAACACTTCCTTATACTTTCAGAATGAAACGTACGGGAAAACAGAAGTGCGTTATCAACTCACGTAGCCTTCACTCACACACACACCCAAAAACACAGATAAGTTTGGAGATAATAAGGTCGTCACTCAGGATATTGGTCGACTATTGAGAATAAATGATGCCTTTTGATTCTCTTCAGAAATAAGCAGATGACTCATAGGTCGCTTACAGTATGCTTTTTAGACCTAATTCTTTATAATATTCCATAAAAGCCTGCTACAACCTTCCACGAGAATCATGGAGGAAAAATCCATTCAGTAATGGCTTTTGTTGATCCACTTTGCTAAATGTCTTTATGCATTATCTTTGAATTATAACAGGTGGCACTGTTCATTTTAAATATTAAACTCATATAGAGTCTATCTATCTATCTATCTATCTATCTATCTATCTATCTATCTATCTATCTATCTATCTATCTATCTATCTATCTATCTATCTATCTATCTATCTATCTATCTATCTAGAGTTGTAAGGCAGTGTAATAGGTAATAATAACTAAGAATCTGATGAAGGGATGTGACTGCTGCATGTGCACTCATCTCTCTCTCCCTTCAGAGAGGAAATATTCTGTTGATCTCCTCTCTTTCTGCTTGCCGTGCTGAGCTTCCAAGCAGCGGATAAAAAGCAGAACCCCTGGTGTTCTTGGAGTAATTAAGGTTTAGCTCAATGCCTTCCTGGCTCCTGAAAGACAGAAAAAATAAACCTAGTAAAAAAGGGAAACAACATCTGAGGGAAAGCAGAGATAGTGAATTCTGAATTATAGTGTGCAGCTTAAAAATCCATTCCTGTCTGTTATTTTGCTTTTCTGATTGATGTAGCTTAGGGTTACGTTTAGCACATGAACTTGATTAGGAGCTGGTAGAAGTTTCTTTGTCTTTTTAAAAGTGGGGAATAAAGAATTTAATGCAAAAGTAGTTTATTTTTTCAAACAAAGTTTAAAAGTTGATTCTTCCCAATGACTTTAGAATAGTTTGGATGTAACAAAATTACATTGTCAGCAACGGCTGCACTGCAGGTTCATCAGAAAATCATACTGAAAACGATCTAATAAAATAACCAAACCATTTGCTGACACATCTGACAAGTTCAAGATATTATTTCCCATACAGAGGAGAAATATTCACGAGCAGATCATGTTGTGATGTGTTATTGTTTCTGCATGAAGGCTAGCTTACCTTCTGTCTGACCTTAGAAGTGACGGGAAGCAATGAAGCGGGAAAGAAATCTCTCTCCCTCTCTGCACTATGGCCACATATGTAATCAGATTGACACAGAAGTGCACATTTGAAGGGTTTAGTAGATTGGTTTTCCAATGGGAAAGAGAAATTGGAAAGAAAAGGGACAGGATGATTTAACTTCAGACATGGAAACGGGTGTGTATTGTAGTTTAAGTGTCCTTTCTTATAATAAACTACTCACAGAAGAGTCTATTATAGAAAAAACCCAACAGTTTTATATAGATGCATCTGGGACATTTAGCAGTTGCCTAAAAGTAATTTAAAGGGGATAGTTTTACCAAAAATGAAAATGAGTTCACCATTTATCCTCACCAGTGTGCTTTCAAACCTTTATGACTTTCTTTTCTCTGTTGAAAAAAAAAAAAAAAAAAAAAAGATATTTTAAAGAAGCCTGAAAATCTGTAATAATTGACATATATAGTATGAAAAACAAATACTATGGAAGTAAAAGGTTACAGGTTTCCAACATTTTTCAAAATATCTTCCTTTGTGTTTAACAGAAGGTACAAAAGTCAAAGGCGTTTTGTAAATGATGACAAAATTTTCCGTTTTTGGCGAACTGTTCTTTTAAAAGTTTAAATTTAGATGAAAATGTGATTTTAACTTGGTATGTATGGGACTAGGTGACATGGTGGCTCAGTGGTTAGCACTGTTGCCCCACAGCAAGAAGGTTGCTTGTTCGTGGCTGGGCCAGAGGTCATTTCTGTGTAGAGTTTGCATGTTTTCCCCATGTTCGCATGGAATTCCATTGGGTGCTCCAGTTTCCCCCACAGTCCAAAGACATATGGTGTAGGTGAATTGAATAAACTACATTGGTCGAAGTGTAAGAGTGAGTAAATGTCTATGGGTGTTTCCCAGTATTGGGTTGCAGCTGGAAGTAAATCATATGCTGGATAAGTTGATGGTTCATTCCGCTGCTGTGACCCCTGATGAATAAAGAAACTAAGTCAAAGGCGAATGAATGAATTAATTTTATGAGACTTATCAACTGTTTATTACAAAGTTCTTTACAAAGTTCAAAAGTTTATTACAAAGTTTTTTTTGTTCTTCATTGCCTTTGAGATTTTTTTATTTTCTTGAACTTCATTTCATAACTAATTTCCTGTAACAATTTACTTGAAATTATTATAATATACATTTGTGAAAATTTGCCTCATAATCTGAAGAAGGCATGTCTTGCAATTGAATATGTTTAGGGAATTTTTGTAAAGCTCACCAATATTATTGGAAATGTTTAGTTGCTTTTGTGTGTATTCAAGCTTTTTACCAAAATAGACCAGATAAACGTACTCTAAGATATTGTCATTGTTGTAAACAAAAAATATTGTGGCAACTTGTCCCGCTCTGCCCAATACAGTAATTGGAAAACTCAATGCGCATGCATGGACCATCTAGATTCTACAGACAGTGCTCCAAGTCTGTCTCTTGTTGAGACTGAGATGCCAGCACATATTTCATATCATCCATAAAACATCAGAGTCAAGATGGATAACGTTTATCTTCTCTCTCATTCTGTCCATTCCTGTATTCTTTCTCTCCCCCTCCTGTCTGTCTGTATTGTGGATGTGCTGAGCTCAGATTTCCTGTATGGTACAGCTCTCTCAGTGTTGACATACACATTAATTACCCAGACTGCCAGGAACCCACTTCTGGCTCCTTTGCCCCATCAGCTTTTCTCTTCCTCGATTGTGTGTGTGTGTATGTGTGTGTGTGTGTGTGTGTGTGTGTATGTGTGTGTATGCGTTTATTTGGCAGAACATCCCTGCATACACGCTTGATCTGAATCGACACGGGAGACGTGTGCTGTTGTATACGTAATGGAGTCGCACTGTCTGGATTTGCATGCGCGTGTGTGTGCGCTTTGTGAGTTGGAGAAGATAACAAACTCTAACTGCTCTGAATGAAACCTAAACTTTTGTGTCGCATTGTTTGGGCTGTTTCAAGAGGATTAGGTTCAGGCCCAGTGGCCAGCTCTGCTCATAGAACAGTGGGCGGGGAAAGGTCAAGCTGAAGTGCCTAAGGTCAAGATAGGGGAGGGAGGTGTGCTCCTGTGTGCACATCATGTTTAGAGAGCATAACATGTTTGATCCTCCCAGTTAAGGCTGCCGGAATTCTCCACCGGTAGTCCAGGGCGTGGGGGGATAATTGGTTATCTCTGAGAATAGGTCATCTATGGTCCAGTGTGCTTGCTGTGCATTGCAAGGGGCCATACACACAGAATAGTTTTTCCACTATGCTACTTTTCTGTTGTTCTTCTAAATATAAAGATATGATAAATAAAACTGTTAGGCTTCTGCTGCGCTTACATCTTATGTAGCATCTTATAAACGAAACTGTGGTCTATAAATGTAGCACTCAAGTTAAAAGAAGTCACCCTATGTTTTTTTGGACCACTGACCTTTGTCTTGCACATTTAACTATTATTAAGTGAATGGTCCCTAACATGCACAGTAGAGCAAAGCAATATAGATTCATTTTTCTTCGGCTTAGTCCCTCATTTATCAGGGGTCGCCACAGCGGAATGAACCGCCAACTATTCTGGCATATGTTTTACACAGTTTATTGACCCATTTTCAATTTAGCCAGTACTGGGAAAAGTATGAATACATTTTATCTGATTATTGCTTATTTTACAGTATGCCCGAGGAGCACCTTAAAACTTAACTTCATACCTGCCTTATTTAGTTCGGTTGAATCGCACAAGAGTTTGTTTTCCGTCTTGGTGCAGTTCGTTTGGGCAGGTGTAAATGTATTAATCACACTCGAGTGTGCACCAAAAGGGGACCAAAAAGCATACTAAGACCTCCTTGAAGAGCAGTTTGTTTGTGGTGAAAAAAGGATCCGAACTAAAACAGACCCAACCGTAAAAAGTTCTGCACCTTTTTGCACTAATCCAGTAGTCTGATGCACAGTCCCATCTTATGGAGTGTGGAGGAAAAATATTTGTTGACAGCGCTTTACCAACAGTTTTAAACAGAGAGAGAGGGAAAAACATTATCTGATAGATCGTTGATAATAATACCGGAAGATGACCATGTAGCAGTTTAGCTAAATTTATTCACGCTGTGACTTGCGATGCGCCTTCGCTGTTTGCAATGCATTAAAGCATTGTTTTCCAGCCGCAGCTACAGCTCCATTCTCAAATTAATGTATAGTTTGTCTAGAGTGATTTAAACAAATTATAAAGTATACTATGACCAGGGATACAATCGGCCAAGGCAGTCCTCCTTCTGTAATAATTTTGTCTACTGGTTTGTTACTTGTGGAATTTCCGTTGGCATTTTCCTGCTCTTAAATTCTGACCAACCACAAAGCAGTTGAGGAAATACGTTCAATTATATCAGGCCAATAAGTGATTTGGATTTTGTCGCATGACTTCATTTTGGTTCTTTTTAACTGGTTCAGACCTAAGCAGTCAGTGTGAAAAGGACCCAAAAATGGCAGAAAAATGCCACAAAGTATCATTTGTTGCCATTGGTCCGGTCTAAATGAACCGAACCACAGATGTGAAAGCAACTTTAAAGGGATAATTTTCCCAAAAATGAAAACTGGGTGCTTTTTTACTCACTTATACTTGTTCAAAACTTATGTATTTAATTCTTATATTAAACAGAGGAGAATATTGCTTTAAAGAATGTTGATACTCAGACACTTGATGGTAGGTATTGACTTCAATAGTATTGTTTT